GCTCCCAGATGTTTTTCTGGGGCTTAGGGAGTGAGATGGAGTTCTTAGCAGCTGCTCTGAGTGCAGTGGCTCCTGGATGACTCAGGATTCAGTTTCTCCACAGGACAGGAGCAGACCGACTCTGTGTCTGCTCCAGTCCAAGGGACCAGGCAGGGGCCGAAGGGCTTGGTTGCTTTCTTACTGTGATATTCTGTTTTGTTTTTAACTGTCGATAGTAGAGAAAATTCTAGTTAAACTCCAACAGTGCCTAGAAACACAAGCCAAGTCACAGTGGAGAAAAGAAACTGTGGCTGTTGTTGTGTTCTAATCCACTGGTTGAGTTTGTTCTAATAAAATCCTTCTACTTGAAACTAGTATGTTGGTCCACAGAGGTATTAAGCCAAATCCATCTATTTCCCTGACATTTCTTTCTTGGACTCCTCTCTCCATTGCCCCAGGCAGGTGGCAGCTGTACTATATGAACACATTTTATGTTCCCTGTGTGTCAACATTCTTATAATCTAGGACGAGCTAGGTTCAGTACTATTTTGCTCAGGATTAGCTTCTTTTCTGAGTCTCCTTCCTAGCCCGTTGTGATTGATGAGAATCCTGTTACAAATGTTGTCTTTCTCAGTCCATTTCATCACCAAACATCCCTGCTGTGGCTCTTTATTGTTCTTTCTGTTGGTCCCTGTTTGGAAATTTACTTCCCTTGGACTTTGATATTGCTTTTGCATTTTGATGTCAGTATGTTTCTACTGGTGCTATGGAAACTTTAGTGTTAGGAATCACAATTTCTCCTTAGTGCCATGATGTCTCATAATTAAAATCTCTATAATGAATATGGAATGAAGGAAGACTTTAGAAGCTACAAAGAAGGCCTAAGGGAGGTTGGGAAAAACAGTACTGGCAAAGGAAGCTGATCTCCCTTAACCTGTTGTGAATCTGAGAGGTCTTTCAGCCTTGGAAAAGAGACAGGCAGGTACATAGGAACCTGAAACCTGTAACAGGGCAAGTGAACTGATCACCTTTGTCCCGATTGCTAATCCTTTTGCCTTTGTTTTAGGAAGCAGACCTTTCATGTGTGGTTCTGAATTCAAAGGAAAGATCTTTTTAAGGTCTGTCTTTCGTTAATTCCTATGATCTAACTTGCAGAAGAGCAATGTTTATCTAGATAAAGGAATTACTTTCTTTTGAAGTCAAGGTCCCAGGAAGTCGACAGAGACATTCAGAGACGAGTGGGAGACAGCACTCTGGAGAGAACATCAGCCCAGCGGGATTTCCCATTTGAGTTTTACTGTAGTCTTTTGTATTCCATGAAAGCACTTTGGCTCCCTGAACACAGACAGATGAATATTTGAGACAGAAAGGCCCTTTGTTTTTTCATAAGTCCAGCCTTGAATAGATCTATTCCCCTTTGTTTGTGTTTCCTGGGTTGTTGGTGTAGCAGCAGAAAATACTATCTTAGATTTCATTAATAGACAGTTTAAAAAACTATATAACATATATCTTAAAAGAGCTATATGACATTTTACCTTAATGTGTAAAGGATTTTCCCATCATTCCAGATTCTGAGGAGCTGGTTGGGTGTGGTGATCCAGTGAGCCTCTGCTGTTTTAGAGTTTCGAAAGATGGTGTCTGGGATCCATATCAAGCCCACCATGTTGCTGTTCAGAGTAAGTATTTTCATTGTGCTGTTGAATCGAAGGCGACTGTCTGTCCAGGTTTGAGCAAAAAATATATCAATTTGGTATTCCTGAAATAGAGAAAAGATACTTTCACTTAATCTATAGTCAATCTGAAAGGCTTTTCAGCCTGGGAAATGAGACAGACAGGTGCTCTGGAACCTGAAACCTATGAGAGATTAACAGGGCAGGTGAATTGATGACCTTTGTTCAGCTCCTGAATCCTTTCCTCCTTCTAGGAAGGCATCCTGTTTACATGGGCTTCTGAGTGAAGGAGAGTGAATTTTAATATGCTTTACAGTCTTTGTCGAAAGTTTAGTTTTCCTCTACATTCTCACACCCTCACTTCTTCCTTTGGAACTGATACACCATGTGTCTTAACATATTCACAACCACCAAACACTAATCGATATCATCAGCACAGTGTGTGATGAAATCCTTGATGCATTCTTTTATCAACATTAAACTGCAGTAAGAATACAGCCAGGTGGCAGTTGAGGAGGGAGCAGCAGACATTTCAGGACATGATGCAGAGCCTTTGCAAATCTAAACTGTGACAAGGAGTAAGATAACTCGGAGCCAATGTTCTACACATTGAGGAAAATAATGTCTCCTTCCTAAATGTGTAAAGAATAAATGAAAGGATGAAACGGAAACCTGAATACTGAGCAGAGAGATTGGGTAATTTATTAATACTAGCTCATAAAACAATACATTATTCAACAGTCTTCCCAAATAACACACCTAGAACAAGAAGGAAAAAGAAGAGGAGGAGGAAGAGAAAGAAAAGGAGGAGAAAACAAGAGGAAAAGAAAGTAAAAGGAAGAGGAGGACAAGAAAGAAGAAGAAGAGGAGGAAATAAGAGAAAGGAGGAGGACAAAAAAGAAGAGGAAAGAAGAGGAGGAAGGCAAAAAAAGAAGAAGAGGAGGAGGAAAAAGAGGAGAAAGAAAGGAGAAGGAGGAAGAGGAGCAAGAAATAAAGCACACAAAACTGTAGTGAGAAGCCACAGAAGGCTTTGTGTGGTGGGGTGTGGTTAGGATCATTTAGACAAAGACCCACTGTTGGAGATGTTTTTTCAGGGTTCACAGGCCCAATATGACTTTCCTGTGATGAGCAGAGTGTTGGGACAGGGCTGAAAGCACCACAAAACACCAGCTATGTCTCAGCCTGCTCTAGCTCAGAGGATTCTTTCCAATCACACTTAGAAGAGTCACCACAGGTCTGGAGAAAGGTGAGTTTAAGGGTTGATCTCAAAAGTTTGATATCTTTCACAGTTACAGTCATATATTAGATACTATATTTTTTGTGCTTTTACAGACCAGGAAATTAGTAGCTCTTGGTGAACCAGATAATTCTCCTTTTGATTGAGCTTCCAGGTAAAGAAGGCCTCTGTGTTTCAGCTAGTGTTTTGCTAACTAATGTTTTCCTTACCACTGCTTTATTGCATTGGCCTTGTAGCCCTCAGAGAAGCAGCACTTACAAGCATAAAAGTCTGGCCATCTGAGAGCTTGTTTTTCAGTCAAATAAGGCAGATCTTAAGTAAAAAAAAAAAGTGTATCTTAGGGTCACAATACCACACACACACACACACACACACACACACACACCACAAAATGGGTGAATAGAGAGGGGAGGGGAGAGGGCAGAAGAGAGAGAGAAAGGCAGACAACGACAGAAAGAGACAGAGAGCGACAGAGAGAAAGATGTTCTGCCAATAACCAGCTTTGGCATCTATGAGGTGGTTAAACTGAGGCAGGCAGCTGATGGGGTTTGGGCCAGATACTGATGTGGGTTGCTGCCCATAGTAGCCAGTGATTAGAGAAATTGCTCAGCAGACTTTTCTCTGAGGGAGTAAAGCTTAATTTACTGGGGTTGGTACTCCTGTGGCCAGTGAAAAACTCTAAACTGTTTTAAATCTTTGAGACTGGCAAGAAAGAAAAGAAAAGAGAAGAATGGATGAAACAAAATGCAGAGTTCAATAACTTCATATATACAATTACATACATACATACATACATACACACATACATACATACACACATACATATGCACATACATATATACATGCAAACAGACCTAGACAGACATATACATATCCACACATTGAATGGTTAGAGCAAAGCTCCATCAAGAAGGGTCCAAGAATTTCACACATGTACATATGCTCACATCCACACATAGCTGGATCAAAGTTCCAACAACCAGGCTCCAAGCATTTCACATACAGACAGACACGCACACACACACAGACACACACACACACATATACACACAAATTGGTAGATGGAGAAAACTCCAACACACACCCAGACAAGCTTTACAAATATACATACATATGGATTTGATGAATGGAACAAAGTTCCAACACATTATCTTACAATCTTTAGACATATTCCCACATGCACATGGTTGATATGTGGAAGGAGCAATGCTTCAACAACTTTACTCTTTCTCCCATGGCTTATATCTAAGCAAAATCCTTCAAACAGTATAAAATTACAATGTGATTATGTTTTAGTTTTCTTCTAGTAAATGACTATGAGGAAACCAGTATGTTCCCCAATATCTTTACAAGAAATAACATTATGGCCGGGCGGTGGTGGCACACGTCTTTAATCCCAGCACTTGGGAGGCAGAGGCAGGTGGATTTCTGAGTTAGAGGCCAGCCTGGTTTACAGAGTGACCAGGACAGCCAGAGCTACACAGAGAAACCCTGTTTCGAAAAACCAAAAAAAAAAAAAGAAAAAGAAAAAAGAAATAACATTATGCAGTACAGGTAAAGAAAACAGATTACTCCTAAGTACCTACATTCATTTGTAGCTAAGCAGCTTGTTATAGATTGACAAAGTGTAAGCAAGCAAGATAGTCTTCTCATCCAGTTTCTCTTCCTAGTAGCAGCAATTTGTGTTTATAACTAAAGGAGTAATTATTTTATTATCTAACTTTAAAAGTCATCTTATAGGAATCTTAAAAGAATCAAATCTATACTTTTATATAAAAATCAGTCGTGTCTAATTTAAATCCTCAAAATGCATATCTACTCACCAGCAATTCTTATTAAATCATATCAGGAAGCTGAGGGCAGAAATAGGTATAAAAAATCAGTCATCACCAGTCTAACCTCAGAGAGAGTCACGTCAGCCAGTGCTGTCATTGTTTTGTTCCCTGACCTTAAAAAGTCCCTAGCTTAATTATTAAGAGTGTGCCTTTCTAAACTTCAAATTCTTCACTAAGATGTTCTACATCAGTGCCAGTGGCAAAAACATCTTAACCTGGCTTCAATAACCATTTTATTTTTCCAAATGGTTTCTAAGGGTGATGGTCATGGCTGACAATCTTACATCTCTGAGGTCTTTACTAGGGTGGTGACTGAATCATTAATCTGCTCCAACAGCAATGCTTGAAAGAGATAAGCATTATTACTGTGCATGCCAAAGATACTTCCCAGTGAAGGGCTGGAAACCCCCTTAGTGTTTTCATACAATTCTTAAATAAAGAGGGAAGAAAGCAAGCAGGGCAGAACTTCATAACACCTTGAAGTCCACAAGATATGTAGATCTTGGGCTATGCCTCAACTACGCCCATCACGGCTGTGCTAACCAGTGGGCAAAGTTCTATGAGTTTTAAAGCCATTTGTCATTCTTTCTGCATGACCCTTGGAAATATTCTGTTCAGAGAAAACCAAAAGTTCATGTTTTGAAAATTTCCGTTTGAGAGTCTATTGTCTGGAGCATACTTAGGATTAGATGAAGCCTTGAAGGGAACCCCCCCACCCCCATGGCATTCATGGCTTTTCAGGAAGAAGATGGGCTGGTTAAATGGCTGGGCAGGCAAAGTTCTTACTGTGCAAGCCTGGAGATTTAAGATCAGTCTCAAGAAACCCATAGTAAAAGAAGACACTGCACTCCTGAAAGTTGTCTTTTGATTTCCAGAGGTACACACACAGTGTTCCATGAGGGCCCACATTCACACACATAGAGAGAGATGGAAATAGGAAATGGGCAGTGGGGGAGAGAGGGAAGGAAGGAGGGGAAGGAAGAAGGAGAAGGGGAAACATATAATAATAAAGTTTTTAAATACACACACACACACACACACACACACACACACACACACACATATCTTGGTTGATCCACAAAATTGGTAATTAAGAGAACAGAGACAGAAGGTAGCAGGCTCTGCTTTACCTTGTAGTGTCTGCCTTCTCCATACTGTGTAAAAACTCAATAGTAAGACACCATGCTTACTGTTGCATGCATACTTACACTCCAGAAATATGGCCTGAACGAACTTCTATTGTTTATACATAATACATTTTGCGTTATGTCTGTTTAGAAACACACAACAGGACAGAGCACTGTCAAGGCCTTTCTTCAGAAAAGGGGTAGTTAAGAGCAGAGAAGCTGAATTTTATGTGAGCCTTTGAGCAGCCATGGGGGGAAAAGCTGATCAGGAAACTTACCCAGAAGACTCAATTCAATGTGAACTAGCAATCTATCAGAGACTTTGTAATATCTCAGCAAACAGAAGGTCATTCTAAAATGACTGTGTGCCTCCATACATCTTCCAAACATGTTCTTATGGATTAATGTTTGCTGCCTCCAAAATGCATGTATGTAATAGGCTAATCCTAAACCCAGAAGTACAAGAGGCAGACTATGAAATGGAAGTAACTCAGTAAGTGTGTGTGTGTGTTTGTGTGTGTTATTCTGTTTTATATATTCTCTTATGTCCTGAATGATACAAAAACAAGGTTCAAAAATTAGACTAAAGAACTGGATTGCTGCATACAGAATTGTCCAAATAAATCCACATTTCTTACCCAGCACCAAACTCAACTCCAAATGTATCAAACACCTCAGAATAAGGCCCAATGCACTGAATCTGATGAAGGAGAGAGTGGGGAATAATCTTAAACTCATTGGCACAGGAAAAGAATTTCTCAACAGGACACCAATAACACACAGACTAAGAATAGCAATAAATAAAAGGGGCCTCACCTGGTATAGTGGCACATGCCATTAATCCAGGCACTTGAAAGGCAAAGGCAGGCGAATCTCTGAGTTCAAGA